TTGCTTCACAATGGCAAAGCCGCAAGCCCTAAAAGCCAGAAACCACCAACCATCAAATCCATCACTTGGGGTAAGGTGGATCACCAGATATCCCCAGGTAACACAATTCTGAAACTGAGCAGTCTCTTCCCTCTAGTTTGACGTCGTAAGCTAATTTGGAGGAATGTCTGGATACTTCATTAGCTAGCAAATATGAAATATGCCTCTTTTGGTTGATTTACTGTACATGCCAAATTTCTATGTGCGTTGAGGTTTTCTCCAATAAATCCAAATACTTCATTATACTATTACCAAAGAAGCATAAATTACTTTGCAATAGAATTTTATTAAGATTTTATTTTTTTTATTATTAAAAGCAGACCGAGAAATGGGGAATTTTGCCATTAACCATGGCAGGATATATAAGCAAATCAGCATCTCTCTCAAGGTTTTTATGAAAACAGCATACCTGCAAAACACCTTTCTTTGCCATTTTTTCTATCTAAATCAACAATTGACTCAATCACCATTCCTTTCATCAACCCATAAAACATAACAACACAAAACACATTTATTTAATTGTCTGTGAACACCAGAATAGATCCAGACTGTAGTTTCACGCCACGAGAAAGCTCACGATGTGCTGGGCCGACCAGAGGCAAAAAGCATCTTGGCACTAGTGCTAAATAATTCATCAAACGCTTGATAAAGTGTTGAGTGAAGGAATTGTATTGTGAAACAAAAAAATAGTTTCAAAATGAAAAATAAAATTGTGAAACTGATGTCTCATGGAAATGAAATCCAGTAAATAAATTGCATAAACACTAAATGGATGACATGTCTTTTACGGAAAAAGGTGCACACTCCTAACGAGAATGTTGTCAATTGATGACTGAACGTGAAGAAACTTGTCTCCTTGAACAAATGGCAAAAACAAGAACCCTACAATTAAGATGAAATAAAATGTATGTATGAAATGCAAACAAAACAAAACAAAAGAGTATAATGCACAACACAAATTTCATTTATCTTCTGACCAAGATCTGTGCAAAAGCCGGTTCTTTTTAATGGCTCACATGAAAAAAATGAAGTTAATGTTTATTAATATAGATTATTGCCTACAAATCTTTTCCTGAATAAACACATAGAAATACATAGCAAAATCTGTCAACCTATTTTAACCTTTTTCCAGCCTTAAACTTTCATTAGATTTGGGGCTGCAGTATATAAAATGTTTAAAAGTGGTCATCAAATTGATTGCTTTTATGTTGCTTATATACAGTATAACATTCAGTTTGATGACCATTTTTAAACATTTAACCTAAACATAGACAATTAACATATAAACACACATATGCGACATATAAACACACCTATGAGCCAAGAAACACAGGGAATTGAGCACCCACGCTGACCTATGTCCGCCATCAAAAGCACCTACAATGGGTATGCAAGCTGGTCCTTGGAGCAATGGAAGAAGGTTCTCTGGTCCGATGTCTCCCATTTTCTGTTGCACCATGTGAAGGGCCGGGTACATGTCAAGTGTCTGTGGGATGCGTTGGAGCAACAAGTCCGATTCACAGCCGCACAGCCCAATATACAGCAAAGCTCAATGCACTGTGTCTCATGACACATTACTTCCATGCCCGCCCAACACGCTACCCGCAGACTGTGGCTTTTTTCCCTCCTCGGACCACACTCTCAGTAGGTACTCACCACAGCTGACCGTGAGCATCCCACAAGTCATGCCATTAGTTAGATAGTCAACAATATTCTCATGTTATGTGGTCATAATGTGTTGGCTCATATTTATACACATAATGTAGTGGTTACACATTTTTACTTATTTAGTTTGGTTGTTATTTTTCAAATCATATTTGGGAGCTGGATATATGGTATAATGCAAACAATTCTGTATGTTGGTAAAAATAATAAAAATACCTTATAATCAAGTGTATATAAATTATTTTGTTGATTTGGCACTAAATAATATAGATAGATAATGGGTGTGTACTGAAAACAGGCTAGTCAGGTCATTCAAGACTGATAATAAAATAGGGAGACCATTAAGTAACAGAAAAATGGGAAAAGGAAATGAAAAAGGAGCTGTAAACAAGGATGGAACGCAAACACTTGCAATGCAATAACTTTCTCAGACATCAACACAAAGCTAATCTTGAGATACACACAGCGTAGCCAGTGTTTTATTACACACTGCAACAATATATTCATAAACATAGACAAGAGAGAACATCCCCAGTATTCATAAACAGATCAAACTGAATGAAGTAACAATGTTAATAAATAAAAAGAAATTTGGTTGAGTTAATTCATTGCCATCAATTACAACCAACAATCACTGTCATTTTCCAAAAGGACATGAATAAACTCATCTTTAATTGGGCATTGTGATTACTTTTGTCCTATAATCCAGATTACAACACTGGTTATTGGCCGAAGGATTTTGATGTCATCATCAAAATTTTCAGAATTTGTGTGTTAAGTAAAAGCTCCTAGTGACAACAGTTCAATGCACGACGGTTTTTCAGGTCAGTCATGCAATTCTGTCGAGCTAAACATATGGCACAGGTGGTTTCTATTCTGAAAACAAATTAAAGGTCAAAGGCAAAAATTCCTAATGCAGAGGTGATGACAAAATTGTAAACCATCATGGCATAAATACCATCACTTAAACTGATGCCACATCATAGCATAGAACTTGCAAGTGGAAGACATACAAACACTTCAAATGGCTATAATGGCTAGAATTGTTTTGCCAGCTGCTTTTTCTATTTCTGTTTAGAGGTCAAACCCATTACAGAGGCTGGTGTGGCACAGGTCTAATAGTCTAACAGATACATATGAAACTCCGTTTTTAAAGAGGCAGTTTCTGGCCTTTTAATGTGAAATATTTAAAGCTGGTCTGGCCGTTCAGTGTGCAATACTTCCCCCTCTTACCTAATCCACAAATACACCACAAATCTCAAATATATGCTCTTCATTATTCTAATTTCTTATAGAATGTGCCCATACACTGATATTTCATAAATATAACGTTTTGTAATACTTTAGGTGTTTTATGTGATTTAGGTGTTTAAAAAAACAAATAAAAACATAGTCATTGATTGAAATTAATTTTAAGAATAACAACAATAACAATAATGAGTATTATTATTATTGTTGTTGTTGTAAGTACACACTCCAGACATGAATGATTTAATGATTCAGTATCAGATACAGTCATCATTCAGTGATCAAGGACAATTACCGTCAAAACACACATAAAAATAGCTTTCTTCCTCATGCCTTTTCCCCCATTGAACAATAATTTCCATAGTGCCAGTAACATCCATCCAGCTCAGAGTTGTGGGGGGGTCTATGTATCCCAGGCTGCACAGGGCAGGGGTACCAGCTAGATGGACTTACACATGCAAGACAAGGTTAATTCCTGTGCATACAGCAGCGAGGTATGGAAGGTGTGCACAAATAAGCATATAGTGTAATATCATACACTACAGGGAGTTTAGGTGATGATTATAGTGTACGAAAGAAACCCATGTGTTACTGGGAGAACAAGCAAACTGGGAGAACGAAGCAGGGGCAGGATTCCAACCCCTAACTGTGGAAGTGTGAGGCAATAATGCTGATCACTAAGTTACCACCCTAAGTTACCTTTATAACACAATGTCAATCTGAAGCTGAAAACAATAATGTAGACTGTGTGGTATCAATGTGAGCAGGATTACCAGAATATCCAGTCCTCTGATGCAGCTATTGTGATTAGCTGATTGCTTTATGAAGGCACAAACACTTGCTTAACGCAAGTGAAGTCTTGACAGTACATGTTGCTACAGCTGACAAACAGATGAGTAAAAATAACCTCTCTGCATCTTGACAAATAAAAAAAACATATGTTTTACATTATATTACATTAATGTATTAATACATTGCATATTTATTATATCTACATTATATGTGCACTTTGTTATGCTAAAGTACAATAATAGCTAATATTACTGGATATAGCTCAAATAGTTACAGTGCATGATCCTGTACCTGAGCTGTTTTAATTTGGCAGAAGAGAAATAAATGACATCAGTAATCCAGTTCCAACCAGATACTTCCAGGTTCCTTGCAGGGATCATGGACAGGTCGTGAAAGGGGTCTGCCCCACCTGAAGAGATCTTAATCCTTCCCTGGCTTTTAAACTGACTGACAGGCATGAAGTAAAACTGCTTCCCTTTTCCTGCCCTGCTGCTCCAAACACTCTTGGATACGCTGCCTGATTTGGAATACGGCATCGAATCACAGAATTTGCATTCTTCTCTTTTCTAATCTGCCTTACCGTCCATAGAATTCCCGTCACTTCAAGCAGCATACCGGTCACTGATTGCGACCAAGATAACTTGAACATTCCTAGAAAGCATAGATCTCAGATAACATCATCTGTGATGTTTCTGGGCAAGCAGAATCCTACACAATTACATGTGCCAAACACTTCCAACATCTGAATTTGCAGCTTTATGGAAGGAGGAAATTGACTCATTCTTTCACCTTATCACAGCATTTCAATTAACATTTTGATCTTGCCCAGATCTTCTTTCACACAGGGTAAAGGATTTTCACAGTAACATGCTGACTGCTCTTTTCTAAAGTTGAATTACTGAAATTACAATTCTATCTTCAGGGGATTAGCAAATGGTACTTCTCCATCTGCATATGTACACAGACTTTGGGACATACAATTGTTAGATGTGAACATTTGTGAGTCACATTTAATCACTTGTGAGTTGTGCTACGATTAGAATAAGCAGTATTAAGCAATATTACTTTCAGTTTCTTTCTTCCAGTCAGACTCACAGAAGAGCCTGGAGCCCATCTCCGGCAAAATGGGGCATAAGGCAAAGGACACCCTGTGTAGAATACACGCATTTCTGGACACATGCACTCACACAATCACTCACCTGCTATTGGTCGTTTAGAGATGCCAGGTCACTTATCTGCATATCTTTGGACTGCAGGAGGAAGCCAAGCTACCTAGAGGACATCAGCTCCACATGTTGTAGGGATGGGACACAAATTTCCATCCATGCAGGTAAGTTTCTACAGTAGTGCTGTACCCTTTGCCACCCTGCTGCCCATTTAAACAAATGAAAAAGTCATAACTTTCTTTCAAAAAGATCAATAATAATTAGTAAATTTAAATCATAATAAAGATTAGTTATAAGCTTTTGGTGAGTCCTTTATGCACCAGATGGGATGCATTTGTTAGTTGCCATCGTGTGAATATAGGTAACATTGTAACAAATCAGTTTAGGTTCTCATGGTTCAACAGACTCAAAATGGATGGGTTGATTAAAAATCAATATTTTATTTTATGATAAAGTACTCGTTTCTGGCCAAGGTCTATTTTTATATAATTAAATTTATATTAATGTCTTAATAAGATCTTTCTGGGTACTTGCATTGTTTTTCAGTATAAGCCCCTCCTTTGCTTTAAGTATAAATCTGAGGGATAATTGTAGAATGATTGACGAAAGGTCCCTATCTAATGTAACTAATTAATATCACTACAATGCAGAAAATTGGTAGAACAAGTCATTTGAAATATTGCACTATATTACATAAAATGTTTATAACCTGTGGATTCAGTTATTTAATGTTGACATGGGATAGGGTGAAGTGTTTCTGAATCATTAAAGCCAATTGGCGGTTATGTTTAGAGGCGGGGCTTCCAGGAGAAGAGGAATGTCCAGTGTGCCAGCTGGCAGTCTGCCTCCGAACTTAGTGGGAGTAAGTACTGTAAGTGAGCTCTTGGCTACTTTGTGCTGATTCTAACTGCCTTATACCTGTTCTTTTTTTTTTTTTTTTTTTCACTTTTTGCTGCTTTTGCAACCTTGCATGCACACCCGACAGTTGTGGAATCTGATTGCAAGAGCCGGGCACTGTATACTGTTAAACCATTATTATTGTGGAGCCTTTTATTTTGTTTTGGAATTTTATGAGAATGCATACTACAACCTTACCTGATACACCATTAGCACCATTACAAACAGATCAGTATTTAATGTCCCTTGTAGAAATAATTTTCTCTTCTATGATATGACATGTTCTTGCTAATAAAGATACTGAAATGGTGGACATACTGTAAATTTATTAGCAAAGAATATTGAGTGAATTTTTAGTAAATGTTAAGTGAGTGACATGCAAATGTAGAAAATGTGTTTTGGCTCCATGTGTGCAAATACTTTTGACTGGTACTGCATCCATTCAATCTCTCAATCGCTTATCTAGTATTTGGCAACTGGGGGAGCCTAGAGTCTTTCCCAGACAGAATAAGGTGCAAGATATGAGTACACATGCAATGCTAATTTACCTAACCACGTGTTTTAGACAGAGGAAACCTACACAATACTGGGAGGGCATGCTTAATTAGGCGGATAACTGGATAAGGTATTCATTGGCCACACATGGTGTCCTATTGGTAAAGTCAAAAAATACATGGGTCAATTGGATGTTTGCTGTAAATACTGGGGCGACTTCAGGAGAAGTTTTGAAATGGCCACGCTGATTTACTTTGACAGACATACCATAATTATACACCAAAATTAAGATTTAACCTAAGATTGCCGCACAGAACTTTATCTGCAAAGTTTCAAGATAAATAAATGCCACTGAATAATTTCTGTAAGAATAAAGTGATAAATATTTGTGTTCTGAAGTCAACAAACAGCCATGACTGTGTTGGGATTAACTCAGTTATTGAATACGAGAAATATTTACCGTTAATTATTTAGGAGAAACACATTGTATTATTAGTTTAGGGAGGAAAATGTATACAGCTGGATCTTTTAATTTTTATGTTGTTACATTCCTGTAAATTGGGATACACGCACATTTTTTAAGAGCCCTGCTTCCATGGAGAAGAACAGAGCTGGTGGAGAATAAAGGACCCTTTGTTACTTGGGGAGGGAGGTACCCAACAGTTCATGCATGTGGGCTATAAGGAGTGCCAGCTTCCCCTGAGCCAAAGCATTTATTCAGGACAATTAAAATATATGAGCAATTAACATTTTCAACTATGCCATTCTTAGTAATTTCTTCATTATAACGTATATCGAATTTTACAATATCACCCATTCATTAAAAATATCTTATATACTCTACTTAAAAAATACAACTAGCTAGACAGTTGTGTACACTAATAAAAAGATGGCTTTCTCTTTCAAATTAGCCAGTATAACTCTAGTAGATGTTTTGGGCCTGGAATATTTTTAGGTAAGACATTGACACCACAGGAGTAACCAAACCGATACTTTAATAACTCCAAAGCTTGTGGAGATGCATTAGAATTAGCACAATTTTTGGTCATGTGCCATTTCTGGGTCAGAAATCCAGGGACAAAACTGCCATCAGGAAGGTGAAAGGCTTTAAAGTTCATCACAATATAATTGAGAAGTGTTGTTGTTGTTTTTCTTTTTTAAAGTGTGTTACACCCAGGCTTCCAGCAACAGAAAGCTACGTCTCCAACAGTATTCAGACATTATAAACATTTCACCAAACATTCATAATTGCTTGATAAAATCAGTATTGATCTTTGAGATGGAAACTCCCCTAAATGAAAGAAAGCATCAGTCATCTTTGTCAGGCGAGACAAGAAAGCAGTAGTAGATGCAAACAGTGTCATATGCCTGTGCCCCTCCCAAACACTCATCGGTGTGCAGTGCAGGACTGTTTTGTGACTCATTCTGTGTAGCTATTTACCAAAGATAATTAAACCTGCTCAAGCAAGGTGTGGGAACCAGAAGCAGGAAAGTTGATGAACGTTTCATTATAGCATTTAAATTCTATGCATGAGTCTCTTACTGACTCATGGGGTGGTAAACAATGATAGATTTCACTGATAACTGTTTTACTGATACTATTGTATCATTCTAATATATGGAGGAAATCACTGTCTGGTAAGTTCCTTGGAAAATTAATCTGTAGTAAAATCCTGTACAGCATATCTGTATAAAGATATGTTTCATTGATCATCGCTGTAAGAAATTTGCCAGTGCAGTCATTTGCAAGTTAGCACAAATAATGGATCTAACAATTTCCTTAACAGCAGGAAAAAAATTACACTGCAATACTATCCTTCAGCAACCGGCAATAACTCAGGCTTTTGGGGGGGGGGGGAATCCTGGCATGGGTTCTTTCAAACCACCCAGTTTTCTGTCCTTGGCTCCACTTTTGTCACAAGTCCTTTCCCCATGACACGGAAATCCTCCAAGATGGCCTCCACGTTTGGGACACTTTGAGCCAGCTCTCCATGCACCTCCACCCGGCGGGCACTCATCTGCGAGGTCTGTAAGAAACCGTCAAAAATTCTGATGATGTGCTTTGCTTCAGATGCCTCATCTGCACAGAAAGCCGAGAAATAATGACGACCTCCAATGTGCTCCGATGTGCTCAAAGCAAAACACTGGCACTGGTTTGTAATATGATGGTAAAATATATAGTTTGCTAAATATTAGACAAAATACCCTTACACTTGCAATGATGCCTTTATTGAGAAAGTATGCAGCTGAATCACCATTAAGACTATACATTAAATACTTCTTTGAAAAGTAATGCTAAGTCAGGCTTTAAAACAATAACAGAGGTCACCGATTTACTGAATAAAACCTATTCAGCTCAGAGGTGAAGTACCAGTCAACGAAAGAGAGTAAACTTGTAACAATCATCCAGTGAAAACTCTGGGGAACCCACCTTGAAAGGCTGCGATGCGAAGGCTTGCGGTTTCCACAGCACTGCGATAACTGTACCGCCGTAGGGATCACAGAAAAACAGTGCCAGGTGACCAAATGCATCCTGGGAGAAGGAAAAAACAATCAAAGCACTGCAACCCAAGGCAACAATGCCAACTAGCACAAGATTGAAATGACAGCCCATAAATGAGTCATCTGTCATCTATTTCAATAAAGTGCACAGCAGCTTAAAGTCGTCTCTATGTCTTTAGGCCAAATACACCAATTCCGTATTACCTGTACAAACATTACTCTATTCATGCCCAAACCACAGCCAGTGTCAGTGATCTTAAGGAACATTATAGTTTGAAGAGTTACGTGTGCCATTTTCTCATATTTACCGATTACTTTAGACTGGGAAATCAACGTATTTAAACAAATCACTGCATATGGATACAAACATTGCATAAAAATACCAAATCCGAGGAAGCAATATCAATTCAGAATTACAATTAAACCATCAAAGTAAAATGATATACTTACCCTAAGCTGAGTCACGTACTGTGTGACTGGGTTAAAGTCGATAACAGGGAGTGCCCCACCAGCACTGGGCACTGCACCTGGCACGGTGCCCCGACTGAAAGTGGCGTGGGGGACGTCCACTGCCTGGTCCAGAAGGGGAACATGCTTGGGACTGAGATGAATGAGAACGTCGTACACATCCAGAGGGGGACGCAGAGCCACCTTCAGGGACAGAGAACATACTGAACGATGTGGGTAAGAATTATTATTATTAGGAGCTTAAGTTTGAACTGGAACTTGTCTGTTCTTGTACAGGTTCCTTACTGTTCCTGGACTATAAGCAAATTAATCAGAGTGTCTGAGCATTCAGTTCCCGCTATTACTTCTTTACAGTACTATTTAATTTGCATTGCTTCAACTCTCCATTTTTACCCCAATTGGCCAATAGCCACACTTTCTGTAACCGTTAAACAACCGTTTGAAACTATGTATATTCACATAATAATTGCCATAATTATCCATCAAAAGCACCTGCTGCTACAAAAAAAAAGTAAACCTGAAACCATTAAGGAAACCACTGGCATGAGTTTAAGGGCAGGCCAACCAACAAAAGACTTTCAGACACACGATGATACTGCGTAGGATCAAGCTGGCAAAATTACTGGAGCTCTGGATGAGAAAACTGGTTTGTACACTGGCGTACAATCGGGATTCCAGCACTTTCGTTTTCTTGCACTCACCCGACCGTCTTGCCCCTGACTGCAGTCCTTCAGCTGCGTCTCAAGGATCCTTAAGCTCTCCGCAGCCACTACTGTAAGGCGCTGCAGCATCTGTAAGGGACACCAGAAATGGCTCCTGACACCCACTTAATTTTACCCCAAATCTGTCTAAAGGCCAATACAGATTCGCTGACACCCACAGCCTGACCCTAACACACAAAACGTTGGCCAAATAGGCATTCTGAGGCACTGAGCTTTGGCCCAATGGGTCTCGAAACAGGACTAACCTCAATTTAGACACATAGGATAAAAATGAATAGACATGAGGATTTTTTTTTTAGTTTAACAGGTATCATTTCCAGTTATACATGTACAGTCAAGATCAAAAGACTATAAAAGGTCTATATATTCGGTATAAAGGAACACAGGGTTTGTTACAAAGCTGGGGTGGAGAACCTGATCCATGGAGAGTCAGAGTGGGTACCGGTTTTTGGAATGACCTCTCAATCAGGCAATAACACTAAGTCCACAGGACTGGAGTTGAGAACCACTGCTTTATTACTGACACACTGAGAGGTCATCGCAAAAACCCACATCCACAGTGGCCCCCCATTGGTCAGGTTCTCCACCCTAGTTAGAGAGGTACTGAAGTATAGGCCGTGTCCAAACCCCTGGCCAGCATAGTAACCGTATCACTGCTGGGGCCTTGTGGAAGGCCCTTAACCATGAAGGATACATAAAGAACGACTCAAACTATTCAATGAAATAAAAACTATTCAAAATATTCCATTGCACATACAGGTAAGTAAAACCATGGTCGAGAGGTCAGATTAACATTACCAATCTAAGACGTTAGTAAGCTGGAATAAGCACAGGAATGTCCCTTTATGTTTAAAAAATTCTCTATGAAGTGTTTCTCAGGTAAATGGTTAATTTGTAGTACTCATAATATTTTGGATGCACAGATCTATACAGGTTAAACATTTTAAAAATATGTCATCAATATATTTTGACATCGTTTTTGTAGTGACGGCATAACTGGCATCACTAGAATTATAAACGAATCATGTCTTCCTTTGCGATGAATTGAATTCAGCTACATGCATAGTAAATGGCACGATGAATACCGCACTCGGCAGATGACAACTAACCGGCACAGAAGGGCCCTCCTTGGTCCAAAGGGAAAGCTTCTTGTCTTTGGGTGTGGCGATGAACATGACAGGAAGTGTTTCCCGGGAAGCAATAAAATCGTTCTTTATCTCAGCATAATCGGATACTGAAGAGGGAAGAAAATCTGCTTAGTATTGGGTGCGTGGCATGGAAGAAAATACCAAATCTGGACAAAAGTAAGCAAAAAAAAAAAAAAAAAAAAACCATAAAAGATGACATTGTAAGCTAGTGTGCCGGCCCAAATTTTTAAAATCAACATGTTATTAGGAAATATACACAGTATACGTACACAGTAAAACACAACCAAGTTTAATAGTCAAGATTAATGATGCACCTATGGTCTTCGTCAAAATACATGAAATAAATCACCTGTGAGTTGACTGTTAAGGTTGACCACAAGGGGACAGGTTTTCCAGTCGAAGGAGGAGAGCAAATGGAGGAACCGGAGAAAGCCGACCAGGGGGGAGCTGGAACAGATGGGGCAGTCAGCATTGAAGTGCTCTAATGGGCAAGAGTATCAGACACGAAACTCCTGATAACCCAAGTCGATTGGGAACGTGATCCGCGGAGGGAGAGGGAGTATTACCCTGGAGCAGTATAAGGGGCAGGCTGCAAGAAGAGCGACGCGACAAGCAGGTCGGCGGCATCCTCGCTGACCTCACCACTGAAAAGCTGGGCAGCCAACCAGCGTTTGGCCAGTCGACACGTCACCCCAAAGGCCGGGTGCTGCTGCTGAAGCCTGAACCACAAACATAGGGACAGGAAAAGATTAAGGGTTGGCGACTCCGTGCTAATGCTCTTGTTTTTAATACAGCAGGACATCGAGGTGGTTCAGCTAAACCGTGTAATTGTGTATAAAGAGGACTGTACCCATGCAGCGTGCTGGTGAGGTAGGGCCGATGTACGGTCTCTAGTTCCAGAGCTTGGGCCTCATCATTGTCACGGTAACAGAGCATCCCATCTGGGCCTATGGTCTGCCTCAAGATCTGAGGCTCTCTGTGGTAAGCCACTTGAATACGGAACACATATCCATCCTGGATACAAGACAACACACAACAAAAAGATTTCATCACACCGTGTCAGGAACAGCATGAGTAATGACAGTTCATGAAAACGTTGTGACGTAAAAGCAGCATGAAGCAATTTGAAACTAGGGCAAGTGCGTGGATGTGAGCACCTTGTAAACATCTAGATGCGTAGGAGTGGGACTGCATGTGAAACCATGACACTTGCGTAACTGCTCCCCAAGGCGGACGTGGAAGGCTGCTTTGATGTGTCGGATGGCCAGCTTTTCAAGAGGCCATTTCCCGCTACCCTCCATGTGACAGATGACTAAAATGTGATCAAAATGGAAGGAATGTGGGAGATAATTGTTATTTTAATGACATACAGGACCAGTGGATTGAAGAAGACAGAGACATTCACACCCATGTCTGCCTACATCCACTGTCATTTCACGGAAGCATATGGTTAATAGTGAGGCCTACCTTCAGCCCAGCAAATGGTGAGGGATGAAAGGACAGGCAAAGTTGTTTTGGGAGGGCATGTTTTACCTTTCAATGGTGGGATGTAGACAGGACAGGGCTTGTCCTCCAGGGGCAAAAGGGCACCAGTCACTTTTTCTCGACCAAAAAATGAGTACTTGAGTTTATGAGGAACCGGGGGAAACACCTAAATCAAACAGAGGCGGGTGACTACCTGCGATATTGGACAACTTAAGAGGGTAACGGTGAGCCCCAACCGCAATGGCATGTACCTGTGTGTATCTCAAGGCCGGATGGGCAGCCTGCACAGAGGTGATGGACAGCGGCAGACCCTCCAGCTGCCACAGCTTGCGGCTGAGGTCATCATAGGACTGAACTATCCTGAGACTTTCCTCATCCCCAGTGCTATCAATCTGTGCCACCTAGACAAAAAGGACGATATCTAGCCAAGCCAACTGCTTTGACGAAACAACAATCCTATACACAGATGCATATGACCGACTTTCTTCATAATACACAACAGCATACTTACCTTACATTCAATTCTGACGACATCATCAAGGAACCCGCCTCGATATCGCAGACAAGACTCTGGAATATCAGCATGACTGGTGGACAGATAAGTGTACACATTATTGAATTAAAAATGCAAGGCCTGACCTACCTTACATGATCCAACTGAACATGACTTGCGCAAAATATGTGGTTAATTTTCTACTACAGGTAGTTCTTGACTTTACGAGCGATTTCGTTACAGCAGGAAACCGGGAGGTATTTTCCCATAGAAATGTTGCAAAATGATGAATTTGGTTCCAGCCCAAAATGTTTTCTTAAATTTTTGCCAAATAAACAAAGGAAACACAAACGTATTATTGTAATTAACATTTAATCAAAAATATATACACATTTAAACAAAAAAATCCTTGGAGAAAAACAAAAAACACTTCTTTCCTAAAACTGTACCATTCATAGTCAGTTTTGGTCACTTTGGTGTTTAGCAGGTGGGGTGTTTCACTACATGTATCCCATTCAGAGCTGGTGGAGATCGCTTACAAACCGTACGTGAAATGAACCTAGACTATTAACGGGATCAGGCTGGGTCGTGAAACAAAGTGGTACAAATCGGGCCCCATCGTAAAATATTCTGTAAAGTGTAATGCTGCGCATGTGCTGGCACGCAGGAATAATTCCCACAGCAGGGTTGTCTGAAAACTTTGTCGGGCAACAGACATTTTTTTTTAAATTATGGAAAACGTAATTTTATTTTTGACCCAGAAAATTCTCATAAATATATAAACTCGGAAAATAGGGAGCTGGGAAAGCGAGAACTACCTGTACTGGAAATCCAATATGTTGACTAATCCGACTGACTAACAACCGTAAAATACAAACAGTAGCAACATGACTCAGTGATATATAATAAATCAAAGAGGAGGAATACTAACAGCTGTAGCAGGTGTGTGATAATCTCACGAGGCACCAGCCTCTTCTGGCAGGCAGAGGAGCCTCCCCACAGCACTGCTTCAGTGATGGCTCCATCCTGGAATCGCCGGAGCTCTGCACGAGGACCCCACAGCTGCCTGAACTCCACTGCCTGAAAACACACACACAGCTAAGAGAGGGACACACATACAGAGCTGGGAGCACAGAGATTGACAACATCTAACTTCAGGCTTTTACATGTACAAAAACCCTGTATTAAGCATAACTCATAAAAAAATGCCACATCTCAAACTGGGCAAGGTACTGTAACAAAAAGCAAGAAAGCATATCAAACTAAATTTTGACAATTGAATCTAGCAGAATCACTCCATTTGAATTGAACAAAATGCCCAATTTGGTTTCTGGGGCTGAGTAATTCTTTTTTTCTTTATATATATATATATATATAACACTGTTTATTTTTTAATAAAATACCTATGTATGGGTACTACGTCTATACAAAACATTGACTTGTTACTTGGACCCCTTAATGAGATAAGCACCCCAAACTTTTTCGTTTTTAATCTCATATTTGAGTGTCAAAAAAGCTTTTTGATTTGATTCGATCCCAAGATGCATCATGATGCATTGCATCCTCAATGTTCTATATTAATGCTCATGGAACCTTATTTTTTATCAATGAATACAAGCAGTTAAATAAATTTAGATTAGGATTAGGTTCTGTCACTGCACTATTGCAGAATGGTCCATGTCTGCATCTTGATGCATTTTAGAAATGATTAATTTCATCACCCCTAGGTAAGAGCTAATTTTTTCCTTAATTTGTTAGAAAGTACTATTTACCTACCGTCAAATGGAAAAAAAAATGTTTTGTTATTCAAAGGCAGGTAGGAGATACAAGACTTTGAACTTACAAGAAAAAAAAAAATCACAAACTGCAAATTAATCTCACTCTCTTTTAATCTGCTTTTTAAATTATAGAAATAGCTTAAAGTCTACCCGAAGCGTACCTAAGGTGTGCCCTGAAGCATGAAGTGTTTTGGGGGACTTTCCAGAGAGTCTCTCCTGTCTCGAAGGATGAAATTCAGGCATAGCACTGGTCACGTTTGCAAATCTTGTCAAGCTGGCAGAGCTTACACCAAATCTTTACTCCTACTGACATGTACAAATACTGCTCTGATCACACTCTACATTCTTGTGCTTTTCTAAGAGTTAAGACGACAGAAAACACTCTCCGGCACAGATTCCAAATGGCACAACCTGCCCCTGAAACTTGGTTCTTACATTGCTTTGTTCACATCAGTACAAGCGTCATACAGGCCAAGCAGAGTTCACTCCCATCCAAAGCCAGAATTTTCCATCTTACCAAAGATAATGAATCTGTGGATCACAGACCACACTTTGTACTCGCCCGAAGTTGACAGATTATGTTTGCTGTAGGTATAATTCCCATTCCTGCTACAAACAGCTATATTCACACCTCAGTTTCTGCTGTTGCAAAGGTTAAAGCGGATGTCCCAGGCACATTAAAGGACAACCCCTTTCAGAGCCCCCTTAGCTGACTCAATGTGGATTTGTTACAGAATTCAGAATCTCAACTGATCCAGTAAGGATCTGAGGTGTTTCCTGAAGTCTTCTTGATGCTAAGTCGTTCATAAGTTCTACCTTAAGTTGTCTCAACGCTCCGATGCGATTCCCAAAATGTTCTAAGTTAAGCATATCCTCCACAATATATTAGTTTGTAAGGTTGGCCTGAGCCTCTCTTAGCTGTCTTGCATCGCTGTTGTCAGCTCATAATGCTAGTGGGCCCCCACTGTTCAGATCTCACACCTCTGAAATGAATAATATGCTGTTAAGCAATATGTACTCTAACAATTCAACAGCTGACTGGGGTGACTGGGGTGCGATGTATATTGATCGCGACATTGCAATGGACACACATGAAGCATTTCTGAAGTGTTGCATTTATAAAGAATGCCAGTTTTTCTCATGCAAGCAGTATAATCGATTCTCAGGCCATTGATGTTCCGGTGCCTAGTAAAGTCAAACTTAAGAAGCTCTCCCTTAAGCAACCTCTTAAGAGATCCTCTTGGAAACGCAAATAGAAAAGTAAACAACCTTCGTAAGATTTACCTTACAAAAGTCTTCGTAAGATGCCAAGAGTCACTGCTAACAGGAAACGCACCCCTGGTTGCTTATGGTGTTTTTCCACTGAACCAGACCATATGCAAGCGAAACTGTGAAAGGACGATTTTCCACAGTAAATTTTGCAAGCTGTACCCAACCCGTACCTGAGCTGACATAGCCTTGCTTACAAGAAAGGATGAAAGTGTGACTAAACCGAGCTATTTGTGTCACCACTCACTGATTGGTTGAAATGCATAGACAGGAAAGAACTGGAATTATTGATTTTATCACACATCACAATGTACTGACACACTGATGATAACTTGGAACTTGAACATTTCCAACCTCCTACTTGGAAAAAGTATTATAGAATGGTTGAATGGGATGGATTCAAAATGCAAATTTATGCAAGCTAATGCTAATTCTGCTAGCATTTAATGTTAACATAACACGGTAATTCTCTTCGGTTTTATGTCACTGTTGCTCTCCAAAGCCAGCAACACCTTTACAGAGCCAACTCCTCTGCAGTGGAAAATCAAAGCAAGCTGGAACTGCACTCTACTGTGTCTTCATGGTATGGGTCGGTGATGGCCTAGATCCTGTAGGCCAGTGGAAGAGCGCCATTAGCGGTCGCTGTACAGTACCTCTCCTGACAAGCCTTTTCATGGTACCTTCCAAGCCATAACATGGGCGCTTTCCATGGGAAGTAGCAAAACATGCTATCATGCTTTTATCCCAAAGTCCTGTTCATGATGACATTAAGTATGAAGTTTCTCCTGCTTTTATATTGCGTTGCTAAGCCATATGAAAAACAACCCCTTTTTGGTAAACAGGGGATGATCTGACTTTAGCTTATCAGCAAGGATTTTCTGTAAAACACAGAATGTGGTGGTAGTGTGATGAATGAAATCACTGATAGAGCAGAAACTCTAGGTCTCGATTTCTGCTTGTCTTTTTCATGTATATATAAATAAACAGTAGTACCCATACATATGTATTTCATTATTAAAAAATTGACTTGTTACTCTTTGAGCTTTCCAATGAGTCATGGGGCCATTTTTGTGAAATAAAAATTATTAAAATGGAATCCAGCTATTAAGAACACAGTCAGAAGCATATTTTTTTGCTACCTGCAGAGTACAAACAGAGCTATATCTGTTTCATCAATTCAAAAATATTTTTTCTGGAAATCTGTTGAATTAAAATGGAACAACCCAGTATATAATTACATAAATAGACATTTTAATGTAAAGGCTGACTAGATACATCACCTAAAGAAATGTTCATTGTGAGATTCTAGCACAGTCAATGGCGTGATTGGATGGCAATTAGGGGATCAAACACTGAGGGAATTAACATAAGGGCGACACATGCAAACAGGAGATTATCAGGACTACCTCAGGGCTGTCTGCTGGGGGACCTCGCTCCAGCACAGAGGCGGACAACTCAGGGTTCAGCAAGAGAGCAAAGGATAATGCCCCCATGTCCTTGTGCTTTGGGGGTTCAGTGACCACTGACCACTAGAAGAGTTTAAAAAAACAAAAAAAAAAAACGTAAGTGTGACACGTCATACGTGCCATGAATAATAGATAAACAGACTTCATAGTAAAATCGCTAAGCTGTAAATTAATGTAAAATCTATCTTGACACTGATATTTGCATACAAACTGAGTTTTTGTAGCCTCACCTCTGGTTCAGGACACAAGGCATGGGTCAAAAGATGGACCCTTTTTCCTAGACCGTGTTGCAGGAGGGACAGTATAACGGGAAGCACGGTCAGCACGTAGTCCCCACTGCGGTCCATGAGCTCCCCAAGGAGTTTGAGCTTTTTACAGGAGGACTGCAGTTTCACTAGCTCACACAACCTGAAGGAAAAAGCCAATGAAAAGGACTTACAAAATCAATCCATCCATCCATTTTCTAGTTGCTTAATTTTGTTCAGGGTCATAGGAGGGCCTCAGGGGTATCCCAGGGAGCATAAGGCACAAAGAGGGCAATTTAGAGATTCCAGTTAGCCTGTGTGTCTTTAGGACGTAAACTCCAAACACAAAGCAGAGGTGGGAGCTGAGTTAATAGTGTTACCCCCGGCCCACCAAAAGAGGGAAGGGAGGGGGTGGAGGGGGAGATACAGCAAGTGATGCTCCACCAAGACTCAAGGTTAAAGCCAACAGCAAGTATTCGTTACAGTAGGGCTTATAATACATGGATAGCTGTGACTGTTTTGATTCATTTTACTTGCTTAACCTTGTCTTACAACTTAAGCCCATAAATAATTGCAACTGTTGCCTTTTGCAGCCAGTTTTACTTTTGCATTAATGAAATAATGGGTGTTAACAGCCTGATTGATGCTCAAAAAAGTACTTTGACACTGTAATCTAGCGAGTCATGAATAATGGCTCAGAACAAATCCATCCCCTGGGGAAAAAAACAGCAGTAGCTAAAAATGGCTAAACATCTAGCCAATCTATGCAGAACAAATGATGAGGGCAAGCTTAGCATATGGACTCTTATTAGCATATGGAGCGTAGGAATGCCACTCACTGAAAGACATGATCATATGTCCTAAGAAAGGGTTTAGGGGTCATCAGCAAGGACTGGAAGCCGTCTAGTGTGGGGTCATCCCAAAACTGCAGGGAGAGCGCAGCCTCATGCTGAACCTGGGAGCACAGCATGAGCCAAAATTCATCAATAACAGAAAAATCAGCATATGTTTTAAATAAGCATTTTCTAACCCAAACCTTGGGGACCCCTCAGATTGGCCACGCTTTTGCCACAGGTCCCTGAAGACCAGATTGGGAAACACTGTTTTTATAACTTCAACAAAAACTTTACTACTCTTCTTCTTCTTCTTCTTCTTCTTCTTCTTCTTCTTCTTCTACTACTACTACTACTACTACTACTACTACTACTACTATTATTCATCATCTTTACATATTTCACAGATCATGCTAAAAATACCGTTAAGAATTCTGAATTAATCGCTTAACATGGACTTAACATCTGCATGGGTTCGAATCCCATGACCATGGCTCTCGGATTCCAAGCTTTCTTCACTTGTATGGTGCTATGGACAGAAGCCTTGGCTAAATGTAAAATGCAAACGTCACATCTGCCACTGGGACTCACTCACCTGCTTGTAGGTGTTGGCTGTCATGTCGGCGCATAAATTGAGGTGTCCTGATGGATCCACAAAGACTACTTGGAAAGAGTCGTGGAATTCAGAGAGTGTGGGCTGGATAGACAGGAAGAGGAAAAAGAAAGATTAGGAAAGAACCACACCAAATATTAATGGCCAAACATCCAAGTCAATCATATTGATTTAACCTCACCGCTGTTGAGTCAGCGTCTTTCGCTAAAGTGATTCCATTCTTTGTTAAGTCGGTGGTAGCTGTGGTTAAAGAAGGAATGTGGAAGAGCGCTCACAGAATGTCAATACAGCTCTGAAATAAATGCACTGGCTTCGCGTGATGTCAACATATGCACCCTCAGATGAGATGCTTACCTAAAAAGTGAAGAGAGTTTCTGAGAAGTTGGTATGCAGTCATGGTGTTGCCGACTCTGTGTGTGGAAAGCAGGTAGGCCACCAACATGGAGCCCACGAACCCACACAAGGAGCCAACTCCCTGAAAACAAACAGGAAGAGTGAGCTCAGAAGATGGGAACATAACATACCAACATCTCATATGAACACAAGTACCAAGCAAAATGAACCAAACCTGGTCCAGCTCTCTCTGTCTCAGCCACACTTTCAGCAGGGCTGCAGCATCAGTGAAAGCAGCACACTTGGCAGAAACAGCCGATAAAAACTGCAGATGTGCCTTTGGAAGGAGGTCGCCCAGCACAGAGCTGTTGTAGTGAGGAGTAGGTGGGTCCTTGGTATCTATCATTGTAAAAAAAGGTTTACTTAGAAAGCAAAATCAGCTATCATTGCCAGTCAATATGTCTGTGACATTTGCCAAAAATGTTTTCATACTGAGTGAAACCTCTTGCACAGCTCTCACCTGCTTTGGGGGCTTCCAGGCCTGTGTACCAGTACGTTCGAACATTGTTCCTTAGGGGGTGAAAGCGACTAGGCTTGAAGAATCCCGGTGAAGGGCAAACGTGGAGCCTCAGCGTTAAGGAGTTTGAGTCTGCCCCTGCAAGGTAAACATGTGAAATGACACACCATACTTTGCTTGTTCTGCCTTGCACAGAATTTTATGCTCACAGTAACCTAGCAACCTTAGTAGTAGGTGGTATGGTATTCAGGTCTGATTTCTATGTTTAAATAAGGACAACCTAAGTTCATTCTTCTTTTCCCTCTGCAGTCCATTCTACAGCAGCTCCCTTCTGTTACGTTAATACCTGGAGGTGTTACTAGCAATAGCGGCCGAAGACGATTTCCATGCAGACAGGAGTAACGCAACGGTCCAATGTCAGGAGAGGACAGGAGGTGCTGTGCCAGCCCAGCCAGATAAAGTGCTCTCTTCCTAGGGTACCTCTGATTCAAGGCATCTTTAGGTTGTAGCACAGACTGAGGGGAAGAATGAAAACTTCAGACAACAAATGCACATCTATGAAATTACGAGTCAATTAATTCTGAAGATTATCCGCGCAAAGTTACTTTGTATGCAAAAAAGTAAGTATGAATAAGTAATGCTTACAGGAGGCATGATGACAGCAAGATCCACAGACACCTTTGGTTTAATGCAGGTCCCCAATGGATAGCTGCCCACCACGGAGACAGAAGCAGGGGGCTCCATGTGGAACTTGCCCTTGGCAGCTTTTGGGAAAAGCAAGAAAGGAACTTTGACTTCTGAAGACAGCCATGACAGGTCATTCAGCTAGAGAGACAAAAACAGAGGGAGAAAAAGCAAAATGTTACAACATACAGTGCAAAAGTCTTAGGCAGTTAAAGCAAATGTTTAAAGCTATTTGTCTGAGTAGTATACAAAAATTAAGAGTAACACAACAAGAAGACTTTTGCACAGTACTGCATGTGACACAACACAGTTAAAGTGGATTTCTGCAACGTAGCTTACCATAATCATGATGTTCATGTTACATGAACCAAAGACCACTGCCAGTAGACACTGAGATACACCCCTCCCACATCTAGCTGCAATACTAACCTCCATTTGAGGAGACCGTGGCACAGTCTGGAGCAACTTGGTGACTTTCTGTATGAAGGAATCCACCATGCACTTCCTCTGTTCACTTAATACAACTTCCTTCAACAGCTCTTCCATCTTTCAACATAGAAACAGAAAACAAAAATACAACAAGCAGGTTACACAGTGTGTCACTAATGTAGAACCTTGTCCTAAGGATCCACAGCCTTGTTGTTATGTTACCTGGAACAGGCTCCAGGTTAACCATGACTATGTATTGGAGAAACAGTATGGAAGATTGCTGCATGGACTTCTGTACTAAGTGCCCAAATAATATCAACTATCAAGAATAATCAGCAATTAGGTTCTCTATTGTGTAATTTATTAGGCCAATTCAACTAACACAGCTGGGATGCTACAGTGACAGAAAGGCACGGACATCACGTTCCCTGACCTGCATCTTAAGCAGATTGCAATGGAACAGGCTCTCTGCCTCGCGCAGCTGGTTCAACTCATCTGCATCTGGGGGTTTATACAGCTCCTTCCGAGAGAGCTTAACAGGACGCAGAACTCCATCCTCCACTGTCTCTTCCTTGCTTTTCTTTAGCTCCATGGTGCCATCTTTTTCTTTGTGAAAAGGCTTAGATTTCCCAATCTAAGAAGATAGAAAGTCATCAGAAAAAGAAAATCTAGAAGTCTGTCTCTAAACGGCAACTTTAAATATAGAATTATTAGTAATGTAAGGACAAGCATCTCTACACAAAAATGGTAATAAGGCATTTCTATATATTTCATTACGTAAATAACGAATAACTGTATTTCGCATTTAAAGGCACCCTGAAACAACTGCAATTAAATATGTTTTCACAACATTTTGCCAAAAGATCATCGCTTTCTAAACCTAACCCTAAGCAGGGTACTTTTCCAGAAACCCGGTTGTTAGACCGGACTACAACACAAATATTTTGTATTAAGTCATATTTCCCAGTTTTCTGAACTGTGATACCTCATTCTCCGTATCGGAAGCTGATAATTCGTCTGTTTTTCTCTTCATGATTATTAAGCAGAGATCGTAAAAGAACACACGTTTCAGTTAATGTAAAGGTAAAGCAGAACTGCTAGGCAAGGTACTTCTCACATGTGCGTCCCGGAAAAACGTGTGTGAGGACTTCGAACAGTTTGATTGGTCGAGAGGATCACAACGACGCATTCTAATTGGCCAGTTGTGTATCCTGCATAACAAAATACGGCAGCAGTTCACGACATGTCGTACTAAGTGGCAAACCTGGCAACTAGCAGGCATATACGTAGGAGAACGCCTACTGTTTTATTGAAAGTGTTTAGGATTTTGGTTAGCTGTGTTGGTTAAATTAACACTTTATTCACATATTAACTGTTTAATTTCTACGGAACTTCCATTGTTTTCGGAAAGAATTTAATTTAGATGTAAATTGAAGTTGCGAATAAATCAAATAAACAGAACTGAGCAGCGGCTCAGTTGATTTTGTGGCCTCACCCGCGTGGTTGTGACTTCCAGCCATCTGCATATTTTGTAGGTTTTCCTGTTCTTTGAAAATCCACTTCTAGGTTGTGTTCCCTGCTCCATGATAAAACCTGACGCTTGATGCTGCACTTTTAATCACCTTATTTTAACTGAGTATTCCTATATAGCCGTGGCGGCGCTTGGCTCTAGCGTTTAGGACTTGTGATGGGAAGGTACACATTGAAATTCCGTGGCCAGCAGAGTAATGCCACTGTTAGACCCTTGAGCAAAACCCTTAACTGCATTTGTTCCACGGACACTGTCTGATCCTGCTTTCCCACTTAATTTTGGACAGATCTGCCCCCTAATAAATTAAGATATTGAAGAATGCTATAATGGTGTATCACCTGTATGAGTGTCCCTTGTCTAGTATCTACTTACGTGTAAACTTATATTATTGTACAAATCTTTTGGATGAACTTTTATATCATCTGATATTTCATTTATATTTATTTAATTATAAGCTGCTTTTATCCAAAGTGACACCCATTTGAGAAAACAGGGTAAGTCAGTTCTTGGAACAATTGAGCTTAAGGGTCATGCTCAAGGGCCCAATTACTTTACTAACCACTGGATTTGAACCAGTGACCTTCCACTCATGGACACAGCAACCTAACCTGCTGAGCCACACACTGTCCCCACCTATTTTAACAATAGACAGCTTCTAAAATCAATTATACAAATATTTAACCTTTCACTGACTCACCTCAACAGTAATAAAGTGCTTCGAGTTGCTGGACAAGAGTCACATCTACTTCATGCTGGCCAGTGCACTGGACCTAGTACAATTTGCATACTGCTGAAATATATCCATTGTTGATACATTGACTCTCATTCTGCACAGTGCTCTTGGACACTTGGACAACAGGAAAGAGAACTATGTGCGGTTCCTGTTCATTGATTATAGCTCTGCATTTAACAGTATAGTCTCTATCAAGGTTGTCAGTAAGCTCAAGGATGTGGGGCAGCACCCTATATAAGGGGGTTCTGGACTTTCAGACAGGAAGGCTTTAGGTTGCCCGAGTTGGTGTACACTCTTCATTAAGCCACACCCCCAACACAGGATCTCCCCAGGCTTGTGTCCGGAGTCCCCTTCGCTACTCCCTATACACACATGCCTTCGCAGTCACGTGGTCAAGTTGGCTGATGACAGTTGCGGTGGGTTGGATCTTCAACAATGATGAAGTGGTTTACCTGAAGAAGGTAGAGAATCTGGCATGCTGGAACCAAGAAAACAATCTCCTCCTAAATGGCTGCAATACAAAAGAATTGATTGTGATCTTTGGGAGGACACAGGTGAGGCATTGCAACCCTCTCACAATTAACGGTATGCCATTGGAGAGGGTGTCCTGCTTCAGATACCTGGGCGTCCATATCAGGCCCACACTGGAGGACCTGACATGAACTGTGCACAACAGTACCCTTAAAAATGCACATCAGCATCTCCACTTCTTCAGGATGCTTAAAAAACTCATACTGGCTGGCAAAATTCTGAAACCATTCTACACCTGCATCATCGACAGCATCCTGACTGGGACCATCATCACCTGATGTGGGAGCTGCACCAAGCTGGAAGGACAGCAAAGCCTTCTGCTGGGTGGTGCATTCAGCTGAATGCACTGTCGGGCGTATTCTCCCTAACCTGAAGGTGACCTACAGGAGGAGGTGTAGGGAGAAAGCTAAAAATAATTAAATAGTCAACCCACCCAACAATGGCCCTTTCTCTCTGATGTGGTCAGGGAGGTGCTGTCACAGCCTGCAGGCCATCACTGAGCCTCAGAACAAGTTTCTACCCTCCGGCTTTCCATACACTAAATGAGGACTCCTAATAGCTAACATGCCACTATATGCACTTTTTACTGTACCTCCCATTTCATATGACATCATCCTGATCACTACCTTACTGTATGCAAAAACAGTTACTGATACATTGCTTTCCATTTGTCTTATGTTACTGTTTTACTTTTTATATTTTAATCTTTTTCTTTTGATTTGTTTTTCTTTGCATTACGTACTTCCCTTTAGAGCACAACCATGAAGCAGGTGGAAAAACCACTTCATTGCACGCATCTACAATGTATCTACAATCTGTAATTCCCCACTGCAATTACAGTTTCAAGCTTCATTTGTTACAAATGAAGCTTGAAACTGTAATTGCAGTGGGGAATCCTGCTGGATCACTTACCAAGACTATTACCGAAGGGGTGTATAATCATTTCTGCATCGTACCTTTAGCATGTTACAGTATATGATAATTCTAAACATTTACACATTACTTTGTCCCTTTGTTTGGGCCCAAGTGTCCCTCAAGATGTGCAAAACATTTCATGGATGTGAGAATGTAGCAGTTAGCCCCTTAGAGGATGATAGATCTAGAACAGTCCAGTCTTCGGGGATCCACAGACAGTCCATGCTTTTGCTCCGAAAAAATGTGGACTGTCTGGCAGGCAGCTCAGAGGGAGCAAAGCCGAGGACCAGATTGGGAAACGCTGATCTATAATATTCATTCTCCATGCAGAAAGAACTGTGTGAGTGCTGAGACACATTATACATTCCACCAACAGCAATCACTAATGCCGTAAACACCTATTTCTTTTCCAGCATCTGCAAAGCTCTGAGAAAACAGAGCTGCTTACTTTGCACAAAATTGTTACTGCACAGAATTAATTCCAGCAGTTCAATAAGAGAATTCTGTTGCCAAATTTTAATGATAGTTGAAAAGTTGAATGTGAATCTGACTTCTTTTTTCCGGATAGCGAGTACCTGATAAATTAGGTTTATCAGTCTTTAGAAAACATTTTGGATGTTGTTAGAGCACTATCATCATAAATTACCATGTTGGGAAACATTACATCTTACTAGAAACCAAATAAATTGAAGACATTACGACTGTTTTTTAAAAAAAATATTAGATTTTAATATCAAAACCAGTTTTTATAAACCTGAGCAAAAATTAATAAACATTAACCAAGAATCAACTTTTCTGAACTACAAAAAATGATGATGCATCATTGTTAAAATTGACAGATTATATTGGAAATTAAGTGTAAAACAAGCCATGTCAATCTGGGTTCAAAATATAAACTACCTTGACCCACTAAGCCATTCATCAATGGCTGCTTCAAAGTACTTGGGATTCTGCTGCCAGTCGACATGCCATCGGAGATTGGCAATTACGCTGCTATATCTGTCTCCCAGGCTGCTCTTCCAGTCACTGAACTGTTTTTTATTGTAGTGGTGCACGGCCTGAGAGATGGTGGGGTAATCCACTATGGAACGCAACAGCCGGTCCAGACGTTGGCACAATGCAGGGAAGTGAACAGCCACGTTGTAAAGCTCCTCTTTGTCAGTAGAGAGATCTGCAAAGGGTATTAAGGAAACTTTTACAGCATTCATTAACTAACATGCTCTAGCATGCAGGTATGTAGTTAATTAATTTTCTTATACGGTTGTCATTAAGCAGTCAAATTTACTGTGGTAATAAAAAATACTTGTACCGTAAAGCACTTGCATAACATCTTTGTGTGCAGCTGTCTCTGAGGTTTAACAGTTCACGAAGTTTTTAATTTCATTATCTCCATAAGGTTACATTCATGAATACACTCCGGCAACTTAAATCTTGCTCTTCTATTAAGTTTTCTAAGATAGTATGAGTAACGTGAATAATCCCACCTTTCAAACTTATAGATCCTAATCAAGATCATTTTCATAGAAAATTACCTGGTGGCAAATAGCCAGCTAGGCGACACCCATTTACTGCCTCTGGACTGAGACACCAACCAGCATTAATATTACTACAGTTTCATACAGGTGCAAATATTTAAACAGACTTTACATTTTGACCTGATATGGGACTGATGGGGAGAAGCAGTGTGACACGGTAATAGCAGGAAAAGAGAGCTCTTAAAAATGTACTTTTCTCATTTTTTATTGTTAATTCTTGTCTGACTGCCAAAGATCAACTGGCAAATGTCCTACTTTCGCTCACCCTTGAGTCAGACACAGCCAGGCAAACACATGCCTAAGGCTTGTTACGAACAATTGGCAAAATTTTTGGGTACAAAAACAAGTCTAAAATAATAACTTAATACGTACATAATTCTAAAATGCAGTGAACAGAATATTATTTATATAGAAAAAAACTATTTTAGCTTAAAAATTTGCCCTTAATATGGGTGGGTATAACGTAATAATTATGCATGGTTTGCTTTTGTATGGAAGTTCATATGGAAATATCCAACTATAATTTCCCACTATAACACTGAATTAAAAGAATGAAATAATTGTACTTATTTATAATGTATCCTGCAAAGCTGACAAGGGTAAGTGGTTAGAAGGTGTATGAATGATGATGCATTTCAGAAGGCAGCTCCTGTCCCTAACAGTTATGACTCCTCTGGAGACTAATGGACTATGACCATCCCTGTCAATAGGTAGCACCTTTACAGAAGAAGCGGAGCACACATTCCAAGTAACATTTTTTCCTTTTGTAATGTGAACCAGCAATTAGACTAGTTGGTTGAATGCATAGAATTTTCAAGTCTGTTCTGTGGTTCACATGAAGCGAAGATTAGGTTACAATCTGTGTTACAATAGGTTACAATCTATGAG